AGTTATTTTCCTAACAAGTGCGCAAAGTGTTACTTTTCCGCACGCGAATACAGTTATACGAACGACGCGAAGCGGAGTTCGGATACGTGTTTGCGTGCGGAAAAGACACTTTGCGCACGTGTTAGGAACAAAATTTTTCCTACGAGCTTCATATCAGGTACGTAATAACAGAAATTTAAACAAAAAACGATAATTTGTTTAATTATTTTTAATTAACTTGAAGGGAACCTATGCATTTATCAAAAAATTACATAACAAAAAACAGAAAATCCTCGTCAGAGCTGTTCATCTTAAAGCGTTTAAATTTGATGAGAAAGTTTGTAGATTTTTGCATATAAATAGAGAACAAATCTGACAATGTGTCAAAGTTAATTTATAATTGGTGTTTGTATAGATGTTGGCTGATATAGAAATAGAGGAAAAATTTGTCATCATGTGTCAAAGTCGACAGGTGCACTTATTGTTGCTTGACAATTATAATTACTTTTCGGCACTCAGTGCGGATAAGGCCTGTATCCGCACTGAGTGCGGAAAAGTGTAACTTTGAGCCCGGAAATGCGTGCGGAAAAGTACTACTTTGCGCACGCTCGTAGGAAATAGTTATTTTCCTAACAAGTGCGCAAAGTGTTACTTTTCCGCACGCAAACACAGTTATACGAACGACGCGAAGCGGAGTTCGGATACGTGTTTGCGTGCGGAAAAGACACTTTGCGCACGTGTTAGGAACAAAATTTTTCCTACGAGCTTCATATCAGGTAGGTAATAACAAAAATTTGAAAAAAAAACCGATAATTTGTTTAATTATTTTTAATTAACTTGAAGGGAACCTATGCATTTATCAAAAAATTACATAACAAAAAAAAATAACAGAAAATCCTCGTCAGAGCTGTTCATCTTAAAGCGTTTAAATTTGATGAGAAAGTTTGTAGATTTTTGCATATAAATAGAGAACAAATCTGATGTGTCAAAGTTAATTTATAATTGGTGTTTGTATAGATGTTGGCTGATATAGAAATAGAGGAAAAATTTGTCATCATGTGTCAAAGTCGACAGGTGCACTTATTGTTGCTTGACAATTATAATTACTTTTCGGCACTCAGTGCGGATAAGGCCTGTATCCGCACTAAGTGCGGAAAAGTGTAACTTTGAGCCCGGAAATGCGTGCGGAAAAGTACTACTTTGCGCACGCTCGTAGGAAAACAATTTTTTTGGAGCATTTATTTCAAAAAATGTATTCAATTCTTTTATACAGGGTGTCCCAGGGAGAACAGTTCATCCAGCGTTGCCAGACCCTTGAAAATTAAAGTATTGATCAAGAGACAAAAAATGTACAGGGTGCTGCAATTTGGAGTGTTTTAACAGGAAAAACACACTTCCAGACCAGATAGACGAAAATTGACTTAGATGTCATGGGATGGATTTTCGAGAAACGTCGAATGTCAAAAACCGCATCGCGATATCTTCAATGGTACCAATAATACAGGGCGATTTTCAATTTTCCCCTATTATGAAAAATGGCTATAAGTTTTTTATTTGTCAACTTCTTTTATTTCTGTGAAAACATTATGTAGACACTTTTTTGAGCACAATCCAGTGGCGGACTCAGTTTTTGTCTATATTGTTCCGATTTCGAAATATCGACCAAACTCCGATATTTTCAAATGAAACACCCTATATGTACATATATTAATAGCTCATTGGATAGCTCTGTTTTTACTGATTTCAATGATATAAACTTCGATAGGTTTATCTCTAACAGTTTTCGAGAAAAAAAAATTATATGTTTCAGTTTTAAGAAACAATGTGTTAGAAAGAGACCTTCCTCTTTTTTCTTACACATATAAAATCCTTTTCTAACACATTGGTCCTTACGACAAAAACAGATATAATTTTAATTTTTTTTCTCGAAAATTGTTAGAGATAAACCTATCGAACTTTATATCATTGAAATCAGCAAAAACAGAGCTATCTATCCAATGAGCTATTAATATTTAGGGTGTTTCATTTGAACATATCGGAATTTGGTCGGTATCTCGAAATTGGAACGATATAGAAAAAAACTGAGTCCGCCACTGGATTGTGCTCAAAAAAGTGTCTCCATAATGTTTTTACAGAAATAAAAAAAATTGATTAATAAAAAACTAATAGCCATTTTTCATAATAGGGAAAAATCGAAAATCGCCCTGTATCAATGGTACCATTGAAGATATCGTGATACGGTTTTTGACAATTGACGTTTCACAAAAATCGATCCCATGACGTTTAAGTCAATTTTCCTCTATTGTTTGCCCAGCGGATCTGAGTCTACGGAAGGAATTCGGACGTAAATGTGCCATGTTGCCACGTTTAATTATAAAAAAGCGAAAATACTAGGCATGAAGTATAGTTAATTTGAAAATCCATTTTTTAATAACAAAATATTGATAACAATAATAAAATGCTAAGTATTTTAACGTAGTTGTTAGATCTATCCTTATTTTAATCCTGATTTCTTCAATTTGGTCTATTGTAAAAAATAAACATTTTCTAAAGATACCATCAGCTTTTGACAATTTGGCAAGCATCCGTCCTGGATGAACCTGATTGGTGGAGTTTTTGGCAGGATCGCCGTTGTCATGGGGAACCGCCGTTGTCAATGAGCTAACGTCACCTTACATCTCGCTATTGGCCAGGGCTCACGTCATTTTATCCTCCCATCTTGAAATATCGATTTATATTGAAATATCCAGTGGCGGAGATTTGGTAATTGCTGATTTTCGTATAAGAGTTGCAATACGATAACACTTCCAAAAAGTTCCGCACGCAGCTGGGTATTTTATGAATGAAATCAGCCATTTTTTTTACAACTGCATTCCCCTTACCGTTGCCCCGTAGACACAGACTCGCTGGGCAGACATTATATGGTCTGGAAGTGTGTTTTTCCTATTGAAACACTCCAAATTGCAGCACCCCAGGATGCTGCAAACGTCAATTGTCAAAAACCGTATCACTATATCTTCAATGGTACCATTGATACAGGGTGATTTTCGATTTTTCCCTATTATGAAAAATGGCTATTAGTTTTTTATTAATCAATTTTTTTTATTTCTGTAAAAACATTATGGAGACACTTTTTTGAGCACAATCCAGTGGCGGACTCAGTTTTTTTCTATATCGTTCCAATTTCGAGATACCGACCAAATTCCGATATGTTCAAATGAAACACCCTAAATATTAACAGCTCATTGGATAGCTCTGTTTTTGCTGATTTCAATGATATAAAGTTCGATAGGTTTATCTCTAACAGTTTTCGAGAAAAAAAATTATATCTGTTTTTGTCGTAAGGACCAATGTGTTAGAAAAGGATTTTATGTGTGTAAGGAAAAAGAGGAAGGTCTCTTTCTAACACATTGTTTCTTATGACTGAAACATATAATTTTTTTTCTCGAAAACTGTTAGAGATAAACCTATCGAAGTTTATATCATTGAAATCAGTAAAAACAGAGCTATCCGATGAGCTATTAATATATAGGGTGTTTCATTTGAAAATATCGGAGTTTGGTCGATATTTCGAAATCGGAACAATATAGAAAAAATCTGAGTCCGCCACTGGATTGTGCTCAAAAAAGTGTCTCCATAATGTTTTCACAGAAATAAAAGAAGTTGACAAATAAAAAACGTATAGCCATTTTTCATAATAGGGGAAAATCGAAAATCGCCCTGTATTATTGGTACCATTGAAGATATCGCGATGCGGTTTTTGACATTCGACGTTTCTCGAAAATCAATCCCATGACATCTAAGTCAATTTTAGTCTATCTGGTCTGGAAGTGTGTTTTTCCTGTTAAAACACTCCAAATTGCAGCACCCTGTACATTTTTTGTCTCTTGATCAGTACTTTAATTTTCAAGGGTCTGGCAACGCTGGATGGACTGTTCTCCCTGGGACACCCTGTATAAAAGAATTGAATACATTTTTTGAAATAAGTGCTCCAAAAAAATTGTTTTGTTTTTTTCCGAACGGGCGGGGGGCGCTGCGTTTTTGTAGCACCGGGCGGCAAACTACCTTAAACCGGCAGGTACGCCGACATCAAGCTGATCGAGCAAACAGCAGGATCAAACTGGTACCAGGTCGCACAGAATAGAATTACGTGACAAAATCTGAGAGAGGCCAATGTCTAGAGGATAGAGAACGGCTAGAAAGAAGAAGAAGAAGGTATACTTGGACGCACCGCTGCAAGCTCTATCACTTTTGCTTTGTAACAAAAGTGGTTTTTTATTTCTAGTATGACAATCAAAACATTTTGAAGAGAAGACATAAAAAAATTCTACTCTTTAAAGCGCTGCCTCTTTTAAACTTATAATGGTAGTAAAAATCTTCCAGAAACAATTTGGTGAGTTTTATGATATTTGCTAAAAGAATATTCCTGTTGCTCTCATTCTCATAAAGTTACTTACATAATGCTACTTACAAGATGATGTGTAGCCATCGATGACCTGATGGCCACGTGAAATTCCTATGTCATTCATCAATCTTCCAAGGAGACGCCGTGGATTGAAATTCCAACGCAATGATTGTTTAACAAACAAGATGAACATCAATAAATCTAGCAAATGGAAGACTTTCATTTTGTCACAATATGAGAATATGGCCACTATAGGATGGGTCACATTATCAGATAAAAAATTTAAACATATTGCTCTATAGGCTAGGCAAATTTTGCAATAAAAAATTAACAAAAATAAAAATACTCTCCTCTAATTTTTAACATCCCTTAACATTTTTCCTCAGAATATTAACTTATTGCAACAACAAAAACTGCCGCATCTGTGAATGTTTCCAACTTAGAGCAGCGGCGTAAAAAGCTTGGAAAATAAATCAATTTTCACATAGAGGGGGTTTACTTACCACGGTAGGGGTGTTTTCTCTAACTAAAAAGCTGAGCGCTGAGCCATAAACGCGAAATAATCGATATATCGAGCTGACAATTAGTTATTTGAATACAAATCTATAAGGTAAAACGTAAAACGAAATGAAAGGGTTTTTTGTGCACGTGTGCGTCGCCATCAAAAATGAACAATAAATTTTAAGTAAGTACTTACCTAGGTATATTCGTCTCGATTTTTTTAAACATTTTTTTCGTTAGGTAGGCATGTATTCAGAATGCGTCTGCAACAGTGGGTGGCTTTATTTTGTGGCATTTATTTTTGGCCCATGAGTAAACTTTGCCTATGACTTCTTATAATAGTTTCAAATTTCAAAAATGACTATTATCAGGGTTTTTTTTAGACTTATCAATAAATATTAGACTAATACATGTAAAGAAAATAAAGACTTTCATTTCAATTTTAAAGTTTAAAACAATGAAAATCTGGTAGTTAACTTTTAAGTAATCGATCCTAAATAAAAATCCGTCTTTAGATTTTTCCTAAAAATATCCCCAATATAGGTTAGTAGCTTTTGAAATTAGACCCTATAAAAGTGGTCATTAGTTGGACATATCCTTCCTCGTCGAAGAAGCATTTGAATACCTCTATCTAACAGACGAGTTCAATACAATAATTATTGATACGCACTGAACTGAATATAAAAATGCATCTCTTAAACAGGTCTAAAATTCTGAAAGATTGACTTAATATGCAGAAAATGGCTTTAGATGAGCAACAAGAAATGCTTTTGAATACAGGTAGGTAATCTATTTACTTTTATAATAAAGATGAGTAATAAAGGATGAAAAAAAGTACCAGAGTAGTGAAAATAATGATTAAAACAAAAAGTGATGAAAGTGGACAATTCATAAGAATTTAAGGTTTAGCTCCATCTCCATCAACCTGCGCCTCACTCCTTCTGGAAAACCCACCAAAATGGGGAGAAGCTGGCCGTTACGCCACGAGACAGCACAGAAAAATTGCTGGCAAAGCCACGTTCCAGGGACAGGTGTACAATTTTCTGGAACGGCCTGACAACTGGAAATGTTTCCTTTATCATATCATTGTGTAAGTGCGCATGATATATTCAGCAGCTGGACAATGTTCCATTGAAATCTATGTTTTAGATTTATTTTGGTGGTTGTTTGCCTTATATTCAGCGTTTTATCGACCATTGAGGCTTATTCGAATTTTGCTAACGAGACTTTGTTTTGGATGGTGAGTACCTAATACCAAGATTTTTTTATAAGGTACATACAGGGAGTTCATTCAAAAAGTCACCAATCCTATTATCTTAGAAACGGAAGATTTTGAGGAAAATCCTGGAAACACGTTAACTATAATTGGAATTTTGCATAAAAACTCATTCATCTCCAAATTACAGTGCTTCGGGGGAACTGAACTAACCCAAATTAACCCTAGTATTCCGTTACTGAGGGGTGGAAAGTTTTGAAATGAACACCCTGTATGTTACATCCAAGATAGTTGTGACTAAAATGTTGAACAATCAGACTAGTAAATTTAAAACATTTTAGGCTCTCGCTATACGCTATAGGTAGATACCTTTATCTAAAAGGTATACCTATGTCAGTCCGAGAGTTGGAATTTTCTCTACCCAGAGTGCAAATTCTTGATGTGCAAAGATATCACCGTCTCTGCATGAAAATTTCTTTTTGGTATTGCGATTGCCAATGGAACAATAACGACTTTCCAATAGGTCATTCGGCATTCCTGTGAACTTTTCTCTTGTTGAAACGACCAATTTATGTAATGATCATGCACTGCCAATGTTTATTTCATGTCTATCTTGGATGTAAATAGACCTCAGTAGTCCTGATTACTCAAAAACAGTTATTATTTTCCAGGAAATATATCTAGTGATATTTTTTGGAGCCGAATACATTATACGTCTTTGGTCGTCTGGGTGTCGCTCAAAATACATGGGCGCATGGGGACGTTTCAGGTTCATCAGAAAACCAATTTGCATCATAGGTGAGTAAGACTTATTCAAGCAATTCAAATTTTGGTGAAAAATATTAGACCAGCCTCAGATAAAAGTGATCCTTTTCCAGATTTAATCGTCGTGGTTGCCTCAGCTGTGGTACTGACCCTCGGTTCCAACGGACAAGTATTCGCAACCTCAGCAATCAGAGGAATCCGCTTCTTGCAAATACTCCGGATGCTTCACGTGGATAGACAAGGCGGTACTTGGAGGCTTTTAGGCTCAGTTCTCTACATACACCGTCAAGAATTAATAACGACCCTTTACATAGGGTTTTTGGGCTTGATATTCAGTAGTTACTTTGTGTATTTGGCTGAAAAGGACGCTACGGTGGGCGAGGGCGGTAAAAATACCGGTGATTTTTCCAGTTATGCTGACGCTTTATGGTGGGGCGTGGTTACCGTGACTACTATCGGTTATGGTGACACGGTACCCAGGACTTGGATTGGAAAAATTGTGGCGTCCTGTTTCAGCGTGTTTGCTATATCGTTTTTTGCATTACCAGCAGTAAGTTTAAACGTTATTTCCGACCAATCACAGCTACGCTTCAAGCTTCAACGCACATTATGAAAGCAACAAAATAAAACTTGTTAGGTAAACAGTTAAAGTGTGGTAATCTGGTAACAACATCAATTAGCACCCTGGGCACATTGTTTATTTATTTATTTATTTATTTATTTATTCATACGGGAAAACTGTACTAACTGTTACAATAGATCGAAAAATAAACTTAGGTTAGGCTCACAAAATATAAAATTCTGCCGATGCTTCTCCTACCCTTGACTTTTTCTTGTAGAATGTATTTCAGCAATTTATATTTGGTTTCGTTTCTCATAATGTGACCTAGATATTCCAATTTTCTACGTTTCACTGTGTACATTATTTCTCTTTCTTTATTAAGTTTTTGCAGCACTCGGGTCTTTTATACCTTGTCCATCCATGATATTTTGAAGACTCGTTAGTACAAGTCCACGACTGGAATGCTTCCAGTCTCTTTGTTGTGTACCAAGATAGAGAATATGAAGCATCGGAGCAGTCTTAATTTTAAATTTAAATTAGGTGTTTTGAATAATTTGGACGGACATTTAAATGAAAGCTGCTCTTGCTTTTTCAATTCTTGATCCTATTTATTGGGAATGGTCCCACTGTTCATTTAGTACTGTATCAAGATAAGTCTATGTTAGCACTCGTTCTACGACTTTCTCATTGATGGAAAACTGTACTCCTCCAATTCATTCCTTGATAATTATTGTAGTATAACATACCCGGGTTCGTTCGGTAAGACTGAACGATGAGAATTTTTATTACCTTTAAACAACAAATCTTCTGAAAAACGAAATAAAGGAAAAATAGGACCTACGTTGTGGAAACTTACTCAATTTTCCTTACTGGACATGCACCCGACATAGCAAATATCTGGGAAAGAAACGAAAAATTTGTGAAACCTCTACTTTATTATAAAAGTAAATCGTACCGTTCTCATCCTGGAACTAACGAGGGAAAAGAGAACGGCAGAGAAACCCTCGGTCTAACATTCCTTAAAAATCGAAACATACTGTGTCAATTTAATAATAATTGTGAGTCATTAATTCAATAATTTAAGTCAATAAAAGTTTAAATTAGGTACCGTCTTTGGTTTGTGCTAAAATTTTAATTACATACTCAACATTCAATCAACACTACCTATATTCAATACTGAAGAGTTTTTTTGTTAGTTAGCCAGTTTCCCAGCGGATACTGAGGTCCCATACGGGAAGCTACTCAGCTATAGTTGTTTTTGAGCCAATATCTCTAGATTGATTATTTCAATTTGTTAGGATATTCTCTCGTCAGGGTAGGAAAATGTTAGTAAATTCAACAAGGCCCTAATGCACGTTCTGAATAAACAAAATCAAAATCTCAGCACAAAAAGACATCACATAATTTCTTAGGTTCTAATTTACTTCTTTATCTGTGTTGTTTACAATATGAAACGATTTTTGTTGAATACATGAACAATGCACATGTTATTAAAAATACATAAAAATAAACAAAATAATAGGAACTTGCATAAATTGAACTCTCAAAAACAAAATAACATTTAATCCACTAACCTGCGAACGCTCCTTATACACACACTAATAAATTGGATTGAACAATCAATTTTAATGCAAAATAGAAATGAAAATTGGATAAGACACGCGTCTAAAGGACCAGCCCAGCTTCTTCTATAGTCTAGCTGCGTATTCTCTTGTATCCTCTTCGATAAGAGGAATAAGTACAAATATGAATTCAGTTCACCAACATCTTGAAGAACAAAGACCTGACATCCTTGTTCTCACTGAAACTAAAATCAGTTCTGCAACACCTATTGTGAACTATCTTTATCCCGGCTATGACCTACACCACCGATTTCGACATAATTTTGGGATCTGTGTGTACATTAAAAATGACCTATCATGTCATCGAGAGGAGAAGCTAGAACCAGCGAACCTTGATATCATATGGCTAAAATTCACCTCAAAGTCATCGACCAAGTTTATCTGCTGCCTCTACCGACCGCCAAGTAACACTGATTACCAAAACTTTTTCGCGACATTATCCGAAAGCTGTGATAGTATACAGTCAAACTATCCACAGGCGGAAATTGTCTTTTTAGGCGATTTCAACGTCCACAATATACCCTGGCTGAAATACCACAACAAAACAGATAACGAAGGCAGAGAAGCAGAAGCTTTTGCCATAAGTTGTGGTCTAACGCAGCTTGTCGATGAACCTACCCGTATCTCAGAAAGGGGCGAATTTGCAGCGCTTTTAGACTTGTTCCTAACCACCAATCCTGACTCGTACACAATTCAAGTAGATGCTCCACTTGGTTCGTCCGATCATAAACTTATAATAACAAAGTGCGAAATGCTCATCCCACCAAGCCTACAACCACTTCCTCGTAAAATGTGGCACTATAAATCGGCAAAATGGAATGACCTAAAACAGTATTACCTGGATTTTCCATGGCAAGAGGTTTGCTTTAAAACAGCTGATCCCACTATTTGGTGTAATGAAATAACACAAGTAATCTTATCTGGAATGGACGCATATATCCCACATACAACTAAACGTAGAGCTAATGCAAAACCTTGGTTCAACAGCCAGTGTCAAACGGCTGTACAGAAAAAACACAGAGCATATAACCTTTGGAAACGACAACAAACCGCTCAAAACCACACAGAATTTATAGAAGCCAGAAATAGTTGCAAAATTACTATTGACTCCGCTAAAGAAACATACAATCAAAGAATAAAAAACAGGTTGCTGAATTGTCCAAGTAGTTCTAGGTCTTTTTGGTCTCTTGCAAAAGCTGTTGGATCTAACTTCACCAAGTCATCCATACCACCACTTACAGATAAAAATAATCACTTAGCCACAACATCAGAGGAAAAAGCCAATATGCTTGCCCAAATGTTTTCCTCCAACTCCAACCTAACAGTGCCAAACGAAAAAAAATTCCACCGTTCATTGAAAGGGTTTCCCATAGTATGCCAGAGGTACCCTTTTGTCACAGAGAAATACGAAAATCCCTAAAAAAGCTGGATACAAACAAAGCAATGGGTCCGGATGGCATTTCCGCAATAGTACTCAAAAATTGCGCCAACGAACTCACCCCAACTTTCGCAAAATTATTCAATTTGTCTTACAGGCAAGGAGTATATCCATCATCATGGAAGTCTGCCGCAGTACAACCTATTCCAAAAAAAGGAAAAAAGACAGATCCGTTAAACTATAGACCAATTGCTCTACTTCCGGTGATATCAAAAGTAATGGAAAGAGTTGTGAACAATCACCTAACCAAGTACTTGGAAAAGTACAAAATTATCAACGATAAGCAATACGGATTTCGAAAATATAGGTCAACTGGCGATTTACTTACATACGTCACTCACTTATGGCAAAAAGCGATTGAGTTGCGGGGTGAAACAAGAACAATTGCCTTAGATATATCTAAAGCATTCGACAAAGTTTGGCATGAAAATCTGCTCAACAAGCTCAAAGCAATGGGATTATCGCCGAAACTTTGCACTTGGTTTGAAAGTTACCTAAAGGACAGATCCATTTATGTTGCACTGGATGGCCAGAACTCCAACTCTTACCAAATAAATGCTGGTGTGCCACAGGGAGCAATCCTTTCGCCAACTCTTTTCCTGATTTACATAAATGACCTCATAGATAAAACAGTAAATCCACTTTATTGCTTTGCAGACGATGGCAATGTAGTCTCCTCACTCATACCACCCACAGGTCTTTCCGCACGTGAATTCCATCATCTTAGACTAACTCAAATATCGCAGATAAATAACGACCTGGAGATAATAGAGGACTGGGGTAACAAAAACCTTGTACAGTTCAACGCGCAGAAAACCCAAGAAGCTCTGTTTTCAAAAAAGACCAGCACCGGTGAGCCAAACATCATGCTATCTGGAAGTGCTGTCACATTACAGAGTCAGTTGAACATCTTGGGGGTTACTGCAGAGACCAACATGTCTTGGCACAGTCACGTGGCAGATATTGCTAAAAGGGCCTCCCAAAAGCTGGGGGTGCTATTTCGTACAAGACATCTGTACACACCAAGCCAATTGCTGACACTCTACAAAGCCCAGATTCGACCAACTATGGAGTACTGCTCACATATATGGAGTGCAGCACCCAAACATACCTTAATGCTTTTGAATACCGTGCAAAAACGAGCTATCAAGCTGATCAATGACCCCGCACTTACTCGTAACTTGGATGGTCTCGAACATCGCAGATCTGTGGGCGATTTATCTCTCTTCTACAGGTACTATCACGGAAAATGCTCTGAAGAGTTGGCACGTATGATTCCACCGAGAGTAGCACCTACCAGGCGAACCCGTCAAACAGACGGTAACCATGAATTTACTGTCAAACTAGAGGCACCAAGAACCTCATTATATCAGAATTCATATCTCTGGAGAACAGCATCGCTGTGGAATAAACTCCCTGCGACGGTTTTCCCTGCAGGTTACAACCTGAACCGTTTCAAGACCAATATACACCGACATTTCCGCGCACTTGCCGCTTCTCGAGCGTGATAGGACATTTCCTTGCGAGTGCGCATATCCGTAAAAAAAAAAAAAAAAGATTTGGGTACCTTCGTTTTCTGTGGCGCGCCCCGCTCAAACCTAAATTTGATGGCGCAGACATGATTGTAACATTTACTTTTATTCAGTAACCGATTTTTAAAAGTTAAAATTTGAAGAAATAATATTTTAAATAGGTGGTTTTCCTCATTATCATGACTTTTGTTTCACTGGTGTTAGCTTCTAGGCCACTTACTAATTTTAACTACACTATTCATTAAAAGCTGTAGTGCGCCAGTGTCGGCAAAAATGACGGTGTCATCGCGGTATATCTAAAATTATTTATTCGTTCGGAGTACCTACTATTAAAACTCCTGCTTCCGTGTATTCTAGGGCTTCTTGGAAGATTGCCACTGAGTACATGTTGAATAC